AGAGGAAGACCCTCATGGAGATGGATTGGCACTGTGGCTGCAAAAATGGGCTCAACCACAACCACAGTTGTGAGGATGGCGCAGGACTGGGCAGTGTTTCATTCTGTCGTACGTAGGGTTGCTGTGAGTCAGAACCGACTCAGGAGCACCTACAACAGCAATAGCTCTCTCTACTTTTGTTTCCCTTTAGACCAAACAAGTTGCTGTCCAGTGGAGTTGACTCTGACTCATGGTGACCCCATGTGTGTCAGAGTAGGACTGTGCTCCACAGGGCTTTCAACAGCTGATTTTTCCAAAGTAGATTGCCAGGTCTTTCTTCTGAGGGGCTTCTGGGTGTACTTGAATCTCCAACCTTTCTTTTACCAGCTGAGTGCTTTAACTGTACTACCTGGTGACTCCAAAAACCGTTTGTTGTCGACTCCGACTCATGACAACCCATCGGCAGCAGAGTAGAACTGTGCTCCACTGGATTTTCAGTGACTTATTTTTCGGGAGCAGATTGCCAGGCCTTTCTCCGAGGTGCCTCTGGGTGAACTCAATCCTCCAGCCTTTTGGTTAGCAGCCGAGCTCGTTAACCATTTTCACCACCTGGGATTCCTTGTTTTAGATTAGCTTCAAATTTGTGTCTAAATCGTTAGGCCCATAAGTTATTATTCAGTGCAAATAAAGATACATTGTTATGGTTTGGGTCTCACCGTCTGCCACCCTTTGTTACAGAAACAATTTACCAGAAACTCTGTACACCCTGCATGAGTTCCTTCAGTCTCTGCCTCAGTTTGTGGGCTGAGTCTTTCTTCACGCCTCTGCCTTTCTGTTAACGTCGGAGAAATGGCTGGGTTGTTCTCAATGCCTTTGCCTGCCCTCAGCTTTACTGGCAGACCTTAGCGGGGATCCTGTTGTCTTGTTTATCTGCCTTCATTTTTTCCCATTTCCACTGTGGGTGTTTCTTCATCCGTAAATCCACGGAAGACCCCTGTCTGAAATTATTTGCACTCTTGGACTTATTTTTGCCTCCTACAGAGAAATATATTGACTTTTTCCCTGCATAGCGGTTTTAAAGAATTTTCGTTCTCTCTTCTCCATGGTACTGTAATCCACAAAAAAAAAAAAAACAAAAACCAAACCCGTTGCCATTGAGTCGATTTCCACTCATAGCGACCCTAAAGGACAGGGTAGAACTGCCCCACTGGGTTTCCAAGGCTGTAATCTTTACAGAAGCAGACTGCCACATCTTTCTCCTGTGGAGTGGCTAATGGGTTCCAATCACTGAGCTTGCAGTTAGCAGCCGAGAGCTTTAACCACTGCGCCGCCGGGGCTCCTTCACGATACTGTATAAAATCATAATTACATAACGATCTTTTACTCTTGAGAAATCTGCATGTTTATGGTTTGTTCTGTTCTTTTTTTAAAGGAGACCTGGTGGCATAAGTGGTTTGCAATCAGCTGCTCACCGAAAGGTTGGAGGTTCGAGTCCACCCAGAGGTGCCTTGGAAAAAAGGCCTGGTGATCTGTTCCTGAAGAATCAGCCAAGAAAACCCAGTGGAGCACAGTTCAACTCTGACACACATGGGGACCCCCTGAGTCTGGGGCTAACTTGAAGGCAGCTCACAACCACCACCACGACAACATTCCTTGTAAAGTAACAATCCATGCCTTCCCCGATCAACCACGATAATTCAAAGCCAAGTGGCTGTGCATTATTTTTAAGTGACCCCAACACCAAGATGAATGTTGAGTCTTCTTGCTCACCCTGGGGGAGAAAAAAACTTGTTCCCTTCGAGTCCATTCCGACTCAAGGCGACCCCATGTGTGACAGAGTAGAACTGCCCCATAGGGTTTTCTTGGGTGTAATCTTTATGGAAGCAGATCGCCAGGCCTTTCTTCCGTGGACCCTCTGGGTGGATTCGAACCACCAACCTGTAGGTTAGCAGCCGATCACAAACTACTTGTGCCACCCAGGAACCTCCTGGGGGCAAAGACAGGATACGTTTGCCTTAAGAAGATATCTTGACAGTAACTGAGGAGTTCAGTCACGTCTTGGATCAGGGGAGGGAATTTGAGGTCTGAATTGTGCTATCTATTTGCTTTAATTCCTCCATTCTCTACATTATGCATGGAGGCAGCGGTGGCTTAGTGGTAGAATCTTCGCCCTCGGTGCTGGAGACCCAGGTTCGATTCCGGGCCAGTTCACGTCATGCGCAGCCACCACCCATCTGTCAGTGGAGGCTTCTGTGTTGCTGTGATGCTGAACAGGTTTCAGTGGAGCTTCCAGACTAAGACAGACTAGGAAGAAAGGCCTGGCTGTCTCCATCCAAAAATCAGCCAGTGAAAACCCTATGGATCACAAGGGTCCCATCTGCAGCCCATCGTGGGGATGGCACAGGACTGGGCAGCGTTCAGTTCTGTTGTGTGTTTGGTCACCGTGAGTCAAGGGCCGACTCTAGGGCAGACAGCAACAGTAACAACAGTGGTTGTTGAGCCCAGTGGCCCTTTAAACCAAAGCCAGACCTGCTGCCGTCGAGTCAATTCCAAGTCATAGCGACCCTACAGGACAGAGTAGAACTGCCCCATAGGGTTTCCAAGGAGTGGCTGGTGGATTCAAACTGCCGACCTTTTGATTAGCAGCTGAGCTCTTAACCACTGCGCCCCCTAGGTTCCATTAGTTACCTATGGGCCACTGTAACAAAATCCCACACACTGGGTGGCTTAAAACAATCAGAATTTAGGTGTCACTGCTCTGGAGACCAGAAGTCAGAAATCAAGGTGTGGGCAGGAACCCCAGAGTTAGTGCCGGGGAAGGCAGGCTGCCTGTAACCGCCCGTCACCCACGAGCTCCTTAGGCCTGCTGACCATCACGGTTTTAAAGTGGTTAAACGTGTCTGTGAGGGTCCTGGGGGCCTCCACAACAAAGCAGTACCCACTAGGTGGTTCAAAACCGTAGACGTGTGTTCTTTCTCAGCTCTGGAGGCCGGACCTGTGAAAACAAGGTGAGGGCAGGGCCGTGCTCCCTCTGGAGGCTCTGGGGGAGGATCCTTCCTGGTCTCTCCCAGCTCCTGGTGGCCCCAGGCGTTCCTGGGCTTGTGGCCGCGTCACCCCAGTCTCTGCTCCGTCTTCACATGGCGTCTCCCCTCTGTGTCCCTTCTCGTTTACAAGGACACTGCTCAGGTGGGATCAGGACCCCCCTGCTCCACTGTGTTGTCACTGTTAGTTGCCCACGAGTCGATTCCAGCTCATGGCGACCCAATGTGTCAGAGTAGAACTGTGCTCCGTAGGATTTTCAAGGCTTTGACTTTTCAGAAGCAGGTCGCCAGGCCTATCTTCCGAGGCACCTCTGGGTGGATTCGAACCCCCAACTTTTCAGCTAAAAGTCGAGGAGTTAACTGCGCCACCCAGGGTCCCTTGACTCCAGGATGACCTCATGTCAACTTAATGACATCTACAAGGACCCTGTTTGCGAACATGATCCTGTTCATGGGTGCAGGGGTTAGGACTTCAGCATAATCTCTCTTATTTTGTAACATTTTATTGTGCTTTAGGTGAAAATTTGCAGAGCAAATTAGTTTCCCGTTCAAAACTTATACACAAATTGTTTCATGACGCTGGTTGCAATCCCTGAAATGTGTCCACACTCTTCCCTTCTCCGCCCCGGGTTCCCTGTGTCCATTCGTCCAGGTTTCCTGTCCCTTCCTGCCTTCTCGTCTTTGCTTTTGGGCACGTGTTGCCCGTTCGGTCTCCTATACTTGATTGAACTAAGAAGCACATTCTTCAGTGTGTTATTGTTTGTTTTATAGGCCTGTGTAATCCTTGGCTGAAAGGTGGACTTCGGGAATGGCCTCAGTTCTGAGTTAAAAGAATGTCCAGGGGCCATAGTTTTGGGGGTTCCTCCAGTCTCTGTCAGACCAGTAAGTCTGGTCTACTTTTGTGAGTTAGAATTTTGTTCTACATTTTTCTCCAACTCTGTCCGGGACAGTCTATTGTGATCCCGGTCAGAGCAGTCAGTGCTCGTAGCTGAGCACCATGTAGCTGTCCTGGACTCAGTCTGGTGGAGGCCGTGGTAGCTGTGGTCCATTAGTCCTTTGGACTAATCTTTCCCTTGTATCTTGTTTCCTTCATTTACACTTTCCCCTTCTCGACCTTGGGTTCCCAATTACCACTTTCCTGTCCCCTCCTGCCTTGTCGTCCTTGCCCCTGGGCTGCTGTGCCCCTTTAGTCTCGTTTTGTTTTATGGGGCTGTCTAATCTTTGGCTGAAGGGTGAATCTCAGGAGTGACTTCATTGCTGAGCTAAAAGGGTGTCGGGGGCCGTACTCTTGAGGTTTCTCCAGTCTCTGTCAGGCCGGTAAGTCTGGTCTTTTCTTGTGAGTTAGAATTTTGTTCTACATTTTTCTCCAGCTCTGTCCGAGACCCTCTATTTTGTGATCCCTGTCAAAGCAGTCGGTGGTGGTAGCTGGGAACCATCTAGTTGTGCTGGACTCAGTCTGGTGCAGGCTGTGGTTCATGTGGTCCCTCAGTCCTTGGGACTAATCTTTCTCTTGTGTCTTTGCTTTTCTTCATACTCCTTTGCTCCAGATGGGGTGGGACCAATAGCTGTATCTCAGATGGCTGCTCACAAGCTTTGAAGACCCCAGACACTACCCACCAAAGTAGGATGTAGAACATTTTCTTTCTGAACTATGTTATGCGAGTTGAGCTAGATATCCCCTGAGACCATCAGCGTAACCTTTTGGGGGACACAGTTCAGCCCACACCACCAGGGGTAGCTAGCTGACTCAGGCTGGCCCAGACCGACCGAGGTCAAGACCCAAAACCAGCCCCATGGTCCGGGCACCATTCAGATTCCACGCTGGCCAGCATCCCGTCGGCCATCACCGTCTCATGGCTGCAACAGTGTCTAAAAGGGCAGGTCCCACAGATGGGTGTGGTGAGGGTCACGGACGAGGGTGGGCAAGGAAGATTCGAGCCTGGACTGCATCCCCTCTCACCATCCCCTTTCCCTCGGCAGCCATAGCTACTCGCCCCACGGAGCCTACGCCCAGAGCAAGCTGGCCTTGGTCCTCTTCACCTACCACCTCCAGCGCCTGCTGGCCTCCTCGGGGAGCCACGTGACTGCCAACGTGGTGGACCCCGGGGTGGTCAACACGGACCTCTACCGGCACGTCTTCTGGGGCACAGGGCTGGTCAAGAAGCTCCTCGGCTGGCTGCTGTTCAAGGTAAAAAAAAAATTAAAAACCGATTTGCCATCCAGTCAACTCTGACTCATGGCGACCCCATGTGTGTCAGAGTAGAACAGTGCCCCGTGTAGGGTTTTCAATGGCTGATGTTTTCAGAAGGAGATCGCCAGGCCTTTCTTTTGAGGCTCCTCTGGGTGGACTCAAACCTCCCACCTTTGGGTGAGCAGGTGAGCACTTCACCGTTAGCACCACCCAGGAACTCCAAAATCAAACCAGTTGCGTTGACTTAACCCTGATTCACAGCAACCCTGTGTGTGTCAGAGTAGAACTGCATGGTATAGGCTTTTCAATGGCTGATTTTTCAGAAGGAAATCACCAGGCCTTTCTTCCCAGGTGCCTCTGGGTGGACTAGAACCTCCAACCTTTCGATTAGCAGACAAGGGCCTAACCGTTTGACCACCCAGGCACCCCAAAACCAAACCAGTTGTAGCTGACTTAACCCCAACTCATGGTGACCCCATGTGGGTCAGACTAGAGCCGTGCTTCATAGGGTTTTTAATGGCTGATTTTTCAGAAGTAGATTACCAGGCTTTCTTCCGAGACACCTTTGGGTGAACTCAAACCTTCAACCTTTTGGCTAGCAACTGGGCATGTTAGCTGTTTGCACATTGAGGGTACTAAAAAAGAAAAGAAAAAAAAAGCAGTTGCTGTGGAAAGGACTCTGACTCACTGTGGCCCCACGTGTGTCAGAGTAGAACTGTGCTCCGTGGGGTTTTCCATGGCTGATTTTCCAGGAGCAGATCGCCAGGCCTTTCTTCCAAGGCACCTCTGGGTGGACTTTAACCTCCAACTTTTCGATTAGCAGCCAAATGCTTAACCATTTGCACGGCCCAGGGACTCCAGAACGAAATGAGTGGCCACTGAGTTGACCCCAACTCATGACGACCCCATATGTGTCAGAGTAAAACTGCTCCATAAGGTTTTCAGTAGCTGATTTTTCAGAAGCAGATTGCCAAGCCTTTCTTCCAAGGCACCTCTGGGTAGACTTGAAACTCTAGCCTTTGAGTATGCAGCCAAGCGCCTTAACCGTTCGCACCACCCAGGGACCCCTGTTGTTCAAGGTCAGTGCCAGATAGATTGATTGGGGTTCTGTGGTTCTGGTATCCACAGCCCCACCTGCAGCTACGTCCAGGCCACCTCCACGGCTCTTGCTGTAACGACTTAGATGTGGGATTCAGCGTCCTTGTCCCTACACACCGAATGCTCTTGACCTGATGGGTGAGGCTGCGTAGATTTAAGAGTGAGCCAAAGTGAAACCTCCAGGAAGCCACAGAAGCCTGAACGATGCTGTGGTCGGCAGCTGCCCTAGCTCCTGCCTTGTGGGAGGACAGCAGACCCCTCTGATGGACTTCTGCTAGCCATTTACAGACCGAGCGGGGTACCATTACAGGACCATAAACCAACCCTAAACAAGCACGTTGCTGCTGAGTCCATTCCAACTATGCCGACCCCGTGTGACAGACTAAGGCTGCCCTGTAGGATTTTCTCTTGGCGGTAATCTTGACTGCGTCATGATAAACAGAAAAGATTGAAGTTGTCAAGGATTTTGTTTTACTTGGATCCACAGTCAATGTCCATGGAAGTGGCAGCCAAGAAATCTAAGAATGCCTTGCACCGGGCAAATCTGCTACAAAAGACCTCTTTAAAGTGTTGAAAAGCAAAGATGTCACCTTGAAGACTAAGGTGTGCCTGACCCAAGCCATGGTGTTTTCAGTCTCCTCATATGCACGCGAAAGCTGCACAATGAAGACCGAATAATTGATGCCTTTGAATGATGGTGTTGGCGAAGAATATTGAATATACCATGGACTGCCAAAAGAACAAACAAATCTGCCTTGGAAGAAGTACAGCCAGAATGCTCCTTACAAGCAAGGATGGAGAGACTTTGTCTCACAGACTTTGGACATGTTATCAGGAGGGACCAGTCTCTGGGGAAGGACATCATGCTTGGTAGAGTAGAGGGTCAGCGAAAAAGAGGAAGACCCTCAATGAGAAGGATTGACATAGTGGCTGCAACAATGGGCTCAAGCATAGCAAAATTTGGGAGGATGGCGCAGGACCAGGCAGTGTTTCGTTCTGTTGTACATCGGGTTGCTATGAATCGCAACCAACTCGACAGCACCAAACAACAATAACAGCAACAGTCTTTAAGGAAGCAGATTGCCAGGACTTTCTTTCGCAACACCACTGGCTGGGTTCAAATCCCCAACCTTTAGGTCAGTGATCCTTGGCATCACCCAGGGACCCCTTCTGGACTATAAACACGGATTGATGTATTACGTCCACCAAGACTCAGAAGACGCTCTTGTGCGTAACTGTTTACCGCACGGCAGGATATGGCTTTCCAGCCATTTATTGAGGACATTGTGTTAATATTCACCAGGGAGCTGTGGCTTTGCTTTCTCTGACATCTTGTCAAGTTTAAGTGCTAACATTTCCATCATTTGTTAAAAAAAAAAAGGAATTGGGAAGATTTCTTTCTCTGTTTTCCTGCCTCGTGTTCAGAATAGTCTAAATATCATGAAAAGCATCTGTATTTTTGAAAATTGGAACGACCTGCCTTTCAAAACCCTCTGGGTTTGGTAATTTCCGGAAGAATAATTCTAAGTCAGCTTTCAGATTCCCTTTCAGGTTTGTTGCGTCTTTGAGGTTTCTACCTCTTCTTAAGTCAGTTTTGACAGTTTCCCACTTAGATAATTGTCTGTTTCATCCAGCTTTAGAGTTAATTAGGATGGTTACTGCTTGCTTTTCTCTTCGCTGCCTGAGTCTCCCTTGCGTTCGCTGCTCCTCATTCCATCTGAAAGTCTCCAAGGCAGTCGGCGCTTCCCCCGGGCCCTTTTCAGAATTTAATTAGACCCTTACTTTTAAGTCTGGTCGTCTTGTATTATCCAGTTCCTTAAGCAGAGGAATTTCAAATAATTTTTTTTCAAATTATAAGTTCTGTGACCAGAGAATTATCAACACTTGTATCTGTTACATCTGTATCTCTCACGAGTCCCTATGCAAGACTTCATTGTCCCAAAACAGCATTTACAGTGCTTTTTTCCCTTTAGTATTCAGAAGAATAAGGAAGACCAAAGAAGAAGTGATGCCTTTGAATTACGGTGTTGGTGAAGAATATTGAATATACCATGGCCTGCCAGAAGAATGAACAAATCTGTCTTCGAAGAAGTACAGCCAGAATGCTCCTTAGAAGCAAAGATGGTGAGACTTTGTCTCACAGACTTTGGACATGTTATCAGGAGAGATCAGTCCCTGGAGAAGGACACCATGCTTGGTAAAGCAGAGGGTCAGTGAAAAAGAGGAAGACCCTCAATGAGATGGACTGACACAGTGGCTGCAACAGTGGGCTCAAACATAGCAACGATTGTGAGGATGGCGTAGGACTGGGCAGTGTTTCGTTCTGTTGTACATAGGGTCACTATGAGTTAGAATCGACTGGATGGTACCTAACAACAACAGCAGCCTCCTAAACTGTGAGAAAATAAGTTTCTGGTTGTTAAAGCCACCCCCTGTGGTGTTTCTGTTATAGCAGCACTAGATGACTAAGACAGTTACTTTCTTCCCTCCTCACTGATTCTTCTCTCTCTGCTTCTTGCTACCTCTGCACCAGCCACTGACCTCTTTGCTGTGCCCCAGACACACGGGCACATTCTCTCCTCCCAGTCAGATTTCGGAAAATGGATGAATGCCCAACGTTGCCCCCAGCTGGGCTCAGTGTTTCGTTCTGTTGTACATATGGTTGCTGTGATTCGGAACTGACTCCATGACACCTAATAGCAACAACATTCGAAGATTAAGGTAAAACTTTAACAGCGTAAATTATTTTTTAATCCTTTGATCATCACCTGCAAGTCTGGATTAAAAGTAACCTCAGGACACTATCTGAGTTGTGGCAGTTTTATATGTAACAGAGAAAATTATGGGAACCTTAAATCAGAGGTTGCTTTCGGCTGCTGCTGTCTAGCCAGCCCCTTCTTCATGCCGACCCCAGGCATAACAACATCAGACCCTTGTGCTCCATAGGGTTTTCACTGACTGATTTTCGGAAGTCAGTCGGCAGGCCTTTCTTCCTAGTCTGTCTCAGCCTGGAAGCTCCCCTGAAACCTGCTCAGCATCACAGCAACACACAAGCCTCCGCTGACGGATGAGTGGTGACTGCACATGAGGGGCACTGGCTGGGAATTGAACCCGCGTCTCCCGCATGGAAGGCGAGGAGTTTCCCACTGGACCACCACTGCCCCCTGCGTCCCCAGCTCTCCCCTGAAAATGCTCCTGGCAGGCCCACCAGTGCCATCCTCGTCCTCCTGTCCCACTGCAGAGTCTCTCCCTGTGCTACCCCGCGTGCTGGCTGGCCTCGCTTCCCTCAGATGGCTGCGTTTTCCCCTCTTCCTTCATTAGGTCTGTGCCCAAATACCACCTGCAAACAGTCTTCCTCCTTGGCAAGCTCTCTGTGCGAACGTTGGCTGGTTAACAGGTTAGATACGACCCGTGAAAGGAGAAGGACTCAAGGATACTGCGGGAGCTTCTGAGTCAGGCATCTGGGGGCATGGTGGTACCTGTACAGGTAATGAGAACATGAAGCAACGCCCAGGTGGGGAGTTGGGGAGGGTTAACCTTGAAGTCCACCCTCCATCTGTCAATGTGTCCTACTGTGGTGGCTTGTGTGTTGCTGTGATGCTGGAAGCTGTACCACCGGTATTTCAAATACCAGCAGGGTCACCCGGGGTGGACGGGTTTCAGCAGAGCTTGCAGAATAGGGCACACTAGGAAGAAAGGCCTGGTGATCTGCTTCCAAAAACCAGCCACTGAAAACCCTGTGGATCACAGTTCTGCTCTGACACACATGAGGTGACCATGAGTCCGGGCTGACTCGACAGTCACTGAGTTTTCACAGAAGCATAATTATGTGTATGAGTTCTGCGCCTCTCATCTCACCTGGTCCCCCTCACTTTTCTGATGCATTAATTCTGCACCAT